TTGCCAGGCAGGCGCTTTGCCGCTGAGCTAAATCCCCAGCCCCGTGACCAGCCCTTTCTATGAGATAGCAGTAACAGGAACTTATAACAGGAATTGTTACTTGGGCAACTAACAGATTGACTTGGGGGTATTTTCTGTTACATTACCCCTTACTCAGTAGACTTTTTTTTCCCCCCCTTTGCAGTGCTGGGTATCAAACCCAGGGCCCTGAGCATGGTAGACAAGTGCTTTACCACCGAGCTACATCCTCAGCCCCCATTACTGGCTTTTTAAACTATCAGCCTAAACTGAAGAAGCCATACCAGTTTGCATACTAACTTGATTATCACCCAAAACAATTCCAATGGAATACTACTCAGGCTGTGGCTCCATAAAGATATGGACTAGATGTGGGGGATTCTACACCTGTCACTTATACCCTTGGAGGTTCATGGTAACATTAGCACAATAAAGGCTTTGTAAGTGCTAATATAAAGATCCTTTTCCTGGTTTTGTTTTGTTTTGTTTTGAGCTGTGTGTTCTAGGCTGGGTTTGAACTTACTAGGTAGCCCAGGCTGGCCTCAAACTCAGGGCAATCTGCCTGCCTCAGCCTCCCGAATACTAGAATTACAGGTGTGTGCCACCATATCAGGTTTCAAGATCCTTTCTGAGACTTCCATATGCGTTTACCACAACCCTTTTCAGATAGAGCATTCAGCAAAGCTGAATAAGGCACTTCAGTTAGTCACTGTCCTACCTTGATAAATGTTACGGAAATGTTGAAAATAGCCGTGGTACTGTGTTAGTTTCTCCAGGGGCCTTAAGGTGTCAGGAGCCCTGGGTTGGGAACTGCTGATGAAGAAGAAATGAAGAAAGTACCTAGACTGGGATAACTTGCTGAGGAGGGGAAGCCTGCGCTGGGTTGGAATGACAGGGAGTAACAAGCCCAGAGCAGGTGTGGGGGAGGGGCCTTTCAGGAAGGTGACAGGAAGTGCAGATTAGCTTTTTTTTTGGTGATGGAACTCAGAGCCTCCTACATGTTGAGTATGTGCTTTACCATTGAGCTACACCCTCAGCCCTTGGCTGTTTTTTTTTTTTTTTTGGTGCCAAGAATTGAACTCAGGACCTTGTGCTTACCAGGCAAGTGCTGTGCTGCTAAGCTATATCCGCGGTCTTTGCTTTTTTTTTCTTTTTTTTTAGTTTTTTTTATTGGTATATTTCATCTTATCTATCTATCATCTATCTTATCTATCTGAGACAAGGTCTCACTATCTATCTATCTATCTATCTATCTATCTGAGACAAGGTCTCACTATGTAGCCCAGGCTGGCCTAAAACTCACAGAGATTCTCCTGCCTCAGCCTCCCGAGTGCTGGGATTACAGGTGTGTGTCACCATGCCCTGCTATTGGTACATTTTAGATATAATGATCACAATCATCATAGGAAATTTGAACATGTACTTGACATATCTTGCTTCTTTTTTTTTCTCATTCCTCTCCCCTCCCTTCAAACCCTCTTCCCTCCTTATTTACAAAAGCTTTGTTTCTATTTTTTCCTTCTTTTCTCATTTTTTCTTTTCCCTTCCTTCCTTCCTTTCCCCCTCCCATTCTCATTTGAACATTTTCTTCCCATTTCCCAATATCTGTTACACATTTTGATGTCTCACACCAGAGAAACAATGCAGTATTTACACGTCTGATTTTTTTCACTTAAAAGTATAGTCTCCAGGTGTATCCATTTAGCTAGAAATGTCTCATGTTTATCCTTCTTTATGGTACAGTAGTACTCTATGGTATTAAAAAAAAAAAAAACAGCTGACAAACACCTATAATCCCAGCACTCAGGAGGCTCGCTGTGAGTTTGAGACCAGCTGGGCTACAAAGGGAATTCAAGGCCAGCCTGAACTGCATAGTGAAACCCTGTTTTGAAAGAAGACAACAAACAAAAAAATAAACCCCAGATCTTCTTTATCCATTCATTGGTTGAGGGGCTTTTGGGCTGTTTCCAAGATTTAGCTATTATAAATGGTCCTTGGCTTCTTACGCCCAGGCCGTTCCTGGGAAGCTGAGGTCAGGGAGCACTGGGCCGGGGAGAACTCTGGATAAAGTGCTCCAGCGTAGAATGGGCACAGCATCATTGCTCAGTGGAAGCAGGGCATCACTGACTGTTTTTTTTGGTCTTTTTGAGACAGGGTCTCGCTATGCAGTTCAGGCTGGCCTTGAGCTCATTTTGGAGCTCAGGCTGGTCTCAAACTTGCAACGATCCTCCTGCCTCAGCCTCCCAAGTGCTGGGATTACAGACGTGCATCACCACACCTGCTGGCATCACTGACTTTGGAGAAAGACAGACAGTTCTGAAACTTCTGTCCCATCTCTACTTGCAGGGCATCTGAGGAGGCTTTCGTGAAGGAATCCAAGGAGGACACCCCAGGCACAGAATGGGAGAAGGTGGCCCAGCTGTGTGACTTCAATCCCAAGAGCAGCAAGCAGTGCAAAGACGTGTCCCGGCTGCGCTCGGTGCTCATGTCGCTGAAGCAGACGCCACTGTCCCGCTAGATGCCTGCCGTAAGCATGGCCTCGAAGCAAGGGCCATGCCAGGGCAGAGGAGGGTCGGCTGCCGAGGCCGGGGTGGAAAATGGAAACCCTCTGGCAGCTGCTACACACAGTCTATTCCGTTCCTATCCATCTCCCAGGGCTGTACAGGGGATCCTCACCCCTCCTACTCCTCACTCCCTCCTGGCCCTATGGTCCGGCCCCTCATGCCTTCTCTTGTCCACTCAGTTGTGACTGTCCCTCCTGATGTATTTTTTCTTGGCTTAAAGGGTGTGTTGTTAACTCTTTTTACACTTATTTATTATCATCCTTATTTCTCTGGAAGCCATCACTGGTGTTAGGGATCAGTTTGTGCTTAGAGATTTCCAAGTTTCATGGCCTTTTGAGAAGGTGAGGACGTTCCCCAGGAAACCCAGGAGTGCCCAGCCAGAAAAGGCAGCTCCCTCCTGTGTTTGCTGCTTCCATGCTCAGGAGAAAGGACCACCTTTCACGGGATGCTTTTGCAATCTTGATCCTTATTGACCCTGAAACCTGTGAGGTAGGGATTTGTAATTAAGGGCACCAACGCTTCCAGAAGGAATAGAGAGGGAAGAGGCAAAGCAAAGGTCCTCAGTGGTGGCTCCTAGGACCAAGGAGAGGCTGGTGAATGTAGCTTCTGCCAGACCCCTTTCCTTACATTTGCCCAGGACATTCTGGATGTAGAGGGGCCAGAGCTCTGTGGGTTTTGCCCTCTTCAGCCGTGCTCTCCTGTGGATTTGGGATAAATAATCAGTAACCACAACTTCTTCTCCTTTATTTTTTTTACTTTTTTGAGACAAGGTCTTGCTTGGTAACTCAGGCTGGACTTGAGCTCACTATGTAGCTCAGGCTGGCCCCAAACTTGGGGCGATCCTCCTGCCTCAGCCTCCTGAGTGCTGGGATCACAGGTGTGCACCACCACACCTGGCTCATCTTTTTCTCTTTTAGTTTACTTCTGCCTCTTTAGCAGAGGCTGTAAGGATGTTCAAGCCAACATGACTGCACAGTGTTTAACTGCTAGCAATATAAGTTCTCTAGGGCTGCCGTAACAATGTACCGCAAACTGGCTGACAACAGAAATTTATTGTGTCATAGTTCCAAAAGTTACAAGTCCAAAATCAAGGTGCCATCAGGGCCAGTTTCTCCGAAGGTACAAGGGAAGGGTCTGTTCCGTGGCTCTTTCCTGGCTGTTGGTGGCCTTAGGCATTATTCGGCTTGCAGGTGCATCGCTCGTTTTGCCTCAATCCTTATGTGACCACTGTTATGTTGTCTGCCTTCGATGCATGTCTTTGTGTCCCAATTTTTCCTTTTTATAAGGACACCAGTCATAATGGATTAAAGTCCACCCTAATGCCTTCACTTTTATAGTGACATTCTCTTTAAAAGTATCCCTGTTCTCACACTCCATGTCCTTTCCTCGTATCTTGAGGCCACGGGTCACGACAATGTACTGCTCTACATTTGCAATTGGCCTCAGAGTTGACAGAGGTGGAGGCAAGAGACCTAGCTGGTCTTTATCGTAAGCTCTTCCGCTCAGAGATCTAGACTGTGTCAGAGGCCAAAGAAGTGTATTTTCTACATCTGGTCTTTTCTCTTTGCCACCTTGAAGGTGGTGTTGAGGAGGGATGGAGTCACACATGGATGCAGCACATTTGGGTCCCCAAATCAATACTTAGCCCTAGAGGCTCTCAGGAGGTAAGAAGAGCGGGGTGAAGAGAAAGGTGGAAGGCAAGTCTCATCTAAGCGCTACTGAAAGTTCAAAAGCTGCTGGCTAGGTTCCTCACACCCCACCCTCCAGTAGTGCCACTAGAGTGGCTCAATGAATTAGTTGCCTCCTCCTTTTTTTGGAGACAAAGTCTCTATAGTTTAGGCTGGCCTCAAATTTCAGGCGATCCTCCTGCCTCAGCCTCCCAAGTGCTGGGATTATATGTGTGTACCACCATGCCTGACTTGAATTAGAATTTTTTTTTTTGGTATCAGGAATCGAACTCATGACCTCAGGCTTACCAGGCAAGCACTTATGCCACTAAGCTATATCCCCAGCCCTTGAATTAGAGTCTTAAGAAGTGCCTAGCAATCTCTACTTTTAACAAATGCCCTGGATGACTGTCATACCAGGAAAGTTTGCCATCACTAGACTACATGATTACTTTTTTTTGTGTGTGTGGTATTGGGGATTGATCCCAGAACCTCTGCACTGAACTATATCCACAGTCCTTTTTTATTTTTTGAGACAGGGTTTCCCTAAGTTGCCAAGGCTGGGCTGGAATTTAGGGTCCTCCTGCTTCAGCTTCCCAATGTTGGGATTACAGGTTGCACCACCACACCCATCTCAGACTACATGATTTCTAAGGCCCACTCCAGGGTACAGACTGTTTTCTGTAAAAGCAAATACCAAAACCCATGGTTTTGAGCATGGGAGGTAAGATTGAGAATGATGTCACCAAACTACAGTGGATTATATTTTATTATGTAGGGAGTGGAGGTGCTGCGGCACACATAGAAGTATGCAACACCTAAACTGAACCAAATCTGGATTTCTGAAAAAAAGTCGGTTACACAACACAGAAGCCTGGTAGAGGAGGGTATACGTCTCTTGGCATAGTTGGTAGTTGCTCCTGGGTTTTGGAATGATCACCGCAGAGCTGCTATGCTCTGGCGGTAAGATCAGGGTCGAGACTTCATAGCAGATGCAGCTAAACCCAACAAGATGGCTGCGACCGTGAAGCCCTGGGCGGCAATCCGGACGCGCATCATGAGCTGGGAGCGCTGGCTGTGGCCTTGGTGGAAGCTGTAGAGGCCGTATGTGAGCGCGGCCGCCGTGCCCAGGCAGCCTGGGGAGGGGACAAAGCAGTGGGGACCAGGTCAGGCTCCGTACGTCCGTTCCGGATTTGGGCATCCTTCCCCAGATCCAAGACCGCTTCGAAGCACCAAAGGGTGGGCGGAACACTGGTCCAGGGGGGAGTCCTCTGCGCTCCAGAGTCCGCCCCATCCCAGCAGCTCTATCCCGCCCCTAAACCTACACTACTGCCTTTCCAATCAGTTTCACAGTCCCGCCCCTTCCCCAACTCTGGTCCAGTCTCATTCAGTCCCCCCAGGAGTTTTAGGTCCAGCCCTATTTCATTCCCCACAACATCACGTTCCTGTCAATTTACAGTTCCTACAGCACCCACTTACCTATGGGCACCACGGGGTTCTCACGAGTCTTGCGAAGGAATTTTTCCTTGAAGCCTTCTGGGTGGGTGCAGACACTGGGGGTAAAGTTTTCAATGACTGGGGGCTGCGATGGTTCAAAAGGTGCCTCCGGAGTCACAGGGCCGGGAGTTGCCATGTCCAGGATACCACAGGAGAAAACTGAGGACGCTAAGCTCCACCTCCCGATGAGGTCATGAAAGGGGCAGGGAAACACGTTACTGAGCGTAGTACGCAAACGCAAGTACTCGTTGCATTCTGGGAGTCGTAGTAATTAGCGAGGATGCGCTACAGAAATGACTACATTTCCCAGAAAGCTTGGAAACCCCTTCCGCACCCGCCGGGAAGAGTCGGTTAACACGAGGTTCTCAGACAGGCGGTGGGTGTACCCCTGGTGCGCTGGTCAGTGCGATGCCGAAGGCCAAGGGCAAGACTCGGAGGCAGAAGTATGGTTATAACATCAATCGAAAGCGTCTCAACCGGAATGCTCGGCGGAAGGCAGCGCCGCGGATCGAGTGGTGAGGGGGCGGCGTACGGGAGGCAGGGGACCTCGGGGCCGGGACGGTCCACGAGATGACAGCACGGATCTTTCTCTGTCTTTGCCGGTAGCTCCCATATCCGACATGCCTGGGACCACACCAAATCTGTACGGCAGAACCTGGCGGAGATGGGTCTCGCCATGGACCCCAACAAGGCGGTGCCCTTCCGTAAGAGAAAGGTACTAACAAGGCAGCATCCCGGCTCTCGCCGCCTTCCTTCTTTTTCTCCTTCCGTCTTTATTAACCTCTTTCTCTCCTTTCCCTTTCTTCACTGCTCCTTCCTTCTTCCTCTGCCTCGATGTGTTCACATCCTTACTGGTTTGCGACCTCTGTTCGTCACCCGCTCAGCCTGCACCGACTGTGCGCAAGAGGCCCTTCATACCTCCCCCAGCCTCCCTGTTCAGCGCACGTTTAGACTTGAATTTCTTTCTTCCAACACAAAATATTTTCCCTCAGAAAGTCCCTTGGCGTCTCAGTGGTATTTTCCAGAAAGTAAACTTAACTGATCTTTATCTTCTTAATAAGGACCCTCCTAAAGCTTAAGATTTTACAGTTTCCTACATCTTTCCCCAGTCATCCTTCGTCTGAGGCTTCCCTAAAACTGATTTCTCTCTACTAAGTCTTTTTCAGGCCACCCTTTTAAGCTTTCAAAGTTAACATTCCTCTTACCCAGTAACTTTCTCCCTTTAATTTTTAGAATGTATATGTACATGATGGTCCTGTATATTTATTTACTTACTTGTTTGTTGTCTGTGCCTCTTTTCTCTAACATAATCTCCTTGTGTTTTGTGAGCTCAATGGTGAACCCAATGAATGAATGGGCATGCAGAATGAATTTGTCCCATTACCTTTCGGCATCTTTGTTTTTTTCCTTCATGCCAGAGGAAAACAACATTCATATTTTTTGAACAAATGTGAAACTATAGTTAAGCACTGTCAGGTAGGCCTTCCCCATAGAGAAGATATCTGACATTTTCCTCCACTGTAAATTATAAAGCACTTTCATGGCATTGTTTTAGTTAGTACACACCCAAGTGAGGAAGGCAAGGAGTGTTATTTAATAGATAGTCATGGAAAGATAAGCTCCTTACTTGTGTTTCAAGAACTGTAGATTATAGTTGTGAAAACTAGTGCATTGGTTCTCCTTGTTGTTTACTTCCATTTGACCTTGAGCAGGGATTTTTATGTGTAATATGATTATAATGGGATAGGTGGGATCCTTCCTTCATCCAGGTCAGACTTCCCTGATGAAAGCTCTTCCCTTGTCTGCTGGTCTCACAGGCTCTGTTCTCTGCAGGTGAAAGCCATGGAAGTGGACATAGAAGGAAGGCCCAAGGAGCTTGTACGGAAGCCCTATGTACTAAATGGTGGGTGCAGACCACATTCCTCTGGATCACCCTGGTGTTGTCCCTGGAAAGGGCCCTTGAATGTCCTCATTTTACAGCTGGAGAGACAAAGGTTCAGAGAGAAGCGAGCTGATCCAAGGTTCATGGAGTTAGAACTGTGCCCCAGGCTCTGACATTTTCACTTTAGTACTGAATAAATTTAAGCATATGAACTAAGGTCAGAGATATTCAGGGAAGATGTATCCAAATGCTTGAGAAGATAGAAAACAAACCATTAAGCATTTAGGCATGTGTTTGGCTTCTCATGTATTTCAGGATGAACTGAGTTAAGAGATTTCCCATCTCATAGTCTTTCTAATGGAAAATCAATTTCATGTATATTAAGGCTATGGAGATTGAATATTAAACAAGGAGAATAAACCTTGTAGGTGCTAGATGTGATGGCAAATGCCTGTAATCCCAGCACTGGGAGCCTGGGGCAGGAGGATTGATGGCGAGTTCAAGGACTGCCTGAATACAGAGAAAGACCCTATCTCAAAAATCCAACAAAGGGGCTGGGGATTTAGCTCAGCGGCACAGTGCCTGCCTGGCAAGTGCAAGGTCGTGAGTTTGATTCCTGGTACCGGAAGGAAAAAAAAACAAAAAAAAACCAAGAAAAACCACACACACAAAAAATCCAACAAAGTAAAACCAAAAACAATCATAAAAAAAAAAAAAAAAAAAAAGGCCCTGTGGGAAAGCAGGAATACACTGGAATTCTTTACTTTTCTCTACCTATTATGGATTTTACTTTATTTTATTTTATTTATTTTCACACTGGGAACTGAACCCAGGGTCTCACACATGGTAAGTACATGGCTACTGACTATACTACCAGCTCCAGTTAGGAATTTTTAACAGCTTTCCTGAAAGTAAAAGGATTTAGATGAGCAAACATTTGGTAGGGAATTCTTTGAGTTTCTGTCTTTAGTTGATCTTTGTGGTTGTCACAGGAATTACTGCATAGGAATGTATATACAAAGTCACATGTACTCATTGTAGTTAGAGAATTTAAATTATTTGTTATTTCTTTTTTTTGTTTGTTTTCTTTGAGACAAGTTCTCACTATGTAGTTCAGATTGCCTTTGAACTTCGTATGTAGCCTAGGCTGGCTTCAAAGTCCCAGTGATCCTTCTACCTCAGTCTCCCAAGTGCTGGGATTACAGGTGTGTGCGAGCACACCTGACCATGGCCTTGTTTTGCTTTTTGGAGTCAAGGTCTTGGTATGTAGTCTAGGCTGGTCTAGAACTCATGATCCTTCTGTCAGCCTCCTGAGTGCTGGGATAATAGGCATGTGCTACTGTACCTGGCATTGTTTTTTAATTTCAAAAATCTTGAATTGTGGTTAAAAAAATTACATAGGATTTGCCATCTTAACCATTTTAAATGTACATAAACTTCAGTAATGGTATTTTCACATTTTTGTGTAACAGATGTCCAGCACCATAAACCAGGCATGGTGGTGCACACTTACAATCCCAGGATTTGAAAGGTGGATTGCTGCACGTTCAAGGCCAGCCTGGGGTACACAGTGAGTTTAAAGGCAGCCTGAACTACAAAGTAAGACCCTGTCTCAAAAACCCAAACCTTTGCCTGTAATTACAGCTCTAGGGGCTTGATGCAGGAAGAATGTTGTGATTTTGAGGCCAGCCTGGGCTGCATAAGTGAGTTCAAGGCCAGCCTGCACTACATAGAAGACCATGTCTCAAAAAACCCCACAAAGCCAGGGTATAGCTCAGCGGTACAAGTGCCTGCCTGGCAAGCACAAGGCCCTGAGTTCAATTCCCAGTATCAGAAAAATCACACACACACCACGAGAAACCCAATCTTGCCAGGCCTGTTGACATATACGTGTAGTTGCAGCACTTGGAAGGCTGAGGCTGGAGGATTGCTGAAGTTGAAGGCCAACCTTGACATAGTGAGACCCTGTCTCAAAAAACCAAACAAACAAAAAAAAACTATACTTATTGAATAATTCCCCACTTGCTCTTCCTCTCTAGGTCCAACAACCTTGTCAAAAATAATTTTGACTATACGCAATATTAACACCTAACCCCCTAGATCACATATAACTATGCCACTTCTGTGAGGAAGCTCTTATTCTATATTATAGATGAGAAATGGGAATTTTTGCCTCTTTTTTTTCTGGTGCTCCTGGGAATCAAACCCAGGGTTTTGCAAAGCTTAAGCAAGTACACTCTCAGCCTACTGTTTTTTTTTTTTTTCTTTTTTTTTTTTTGAGACAAAGTCTCACTATATATTTCAAGCTGGCTTTGAACTTACTATGTAGCCCAGGCTGGCCTTACCTGTGGCAAGCCTCCTGCCTCAGTGTCCTGAGTACTGGGATTACAGGAGTGCACTACCATGCCTGGGCACCAGCTCTAGTTTTCATTCAGATCTTTACATTTTACATGGGTCTCTGAGAGGTTTAGAGCCAGAAATGAGTCCTGCTTTCCAGACAGATAGTATATCTTTACCTGTGTCCACAAGGCCTGGCACTAAGTAGAGATACAGGTACATGGTTTGGTGCCTTCTTTTTAAACCCATCTGAGGCCTGGAGAGGAGTGGCATGCTTTTCAGGTAGTTGCCACACTAGGTAATAGGGTTGTAGAAGGCAGAGTGTGGGATATCAGAGGCTGAAAAAGTTTCCCATGATGAATTTGAGAATGGCTTTGAACAGCAATTCTTATGGCATGGGAATGGGTGGTGGGTGTATGTACAGCTCAAACACAGCAGAGGCAAAACCTCATTCCATCTGGCTTCTGTCACCCCAGACCTGGAAGCAGAGGCCAGCCTCCCAGAAAAGAAAGGGAATACCTTGTCTCGGGACCTCATTGACTACGTGCGCCACATGGTGGAGAACTATGGGGAAGACTACAAGGTAAGGTGCTCAGGCCCGGTAGGAAGAACTGCTGGGACTGGTTAGGAGGCAATGCTGGACCATTCATGCCCTGAGCCAGGCGTGGTGGCGCACATCTGTAATCCCAGCACGTGGGAGGCTGAGGCAGGAGGATCATTGTGAGTTCGAGACCAGCGTGGGCTACAAAATGAGCTCAAGGCCAGCCTGAACTGCAGAGTGAGACCCTGTCTCAAAAAGACAAAAACAAAAAAACGAAAAACAAAACATTCATGCCCTGATCTACTTGCCCAGTGTTTCTCCTGAGACTGGGTAGAAAGAAAGGGGGAGATATATCCCTTCACAGGGACTTAATACAACAAAATGCTACCAGCCGGGTAGGTTGAGTAACCTGTGGTTCATGTCCTATTCAACACATTTGTACAAAAAGCTTGGACTAGTTGCCATTTCTTTTGTGAGAGGGTTCACAAAAAGTCCATATATTTGGCTTTTTTTCAACACTGAAAGATCTGGCCACACTGGACCTCTGCTCCCAGGTGGGATTAGCTGGCTATGGATGGATCATGAGCTCCTTGGCTAGTCCAGCTCCTGCCCAGTTTACTGGCTTCTTGGGCTTGCCTGGTCCCTAAGGGCGTTTGTACCCGTTTCCCCAGCTCCTTAGTGCAGAAGGGCTCCACATACACTGGGCCTGAGGTAAGGAATCTGGATATCAGTGATAGGAAGTGGTTTGCTCAATTTGCACAGAGCTAGCTAGGATTTGAACCTCTGCCTGTCTGTCCCTCTTTTAAGTTACCCTTCTTCCTTCTTAGGCCATGGCCCGGGATGAGAAGAATTACTATCAAGATACCCCAAAACAGATTCGGAATAAGATCAACGTCTATAAGCGTTTTTACCCAGCGGAGTGGCAAGCCTTCCTTGATTCTTTGGAAAAGAATAAGATGGAGATTGAATGACTCTGGGCCAAGGCCTTGTTCTGGACCAAAGAAGCTGGAGCCGGCGTGTAAGACAAGGAGGGTGTGTGGCTTCAGATGATGCTGGCTAATCCTGTGGAATCAGGTTACACATATACACACACTTCTCTTGGGGAAGGACCAGGCTTTGAGGCGCTAACTGAATTTGCGGGGATCCTCTTGCCTTAGTCTCCCGAGTGCTGGGATTGTAGGTGTGTGTCACCACACCTAGCTTTAAGATGCCAATTTATATTCTTTTTTTGAGTACTTGAGATTGAACTCAGGGCCTTGCACATGCTAGGAAAGCACCTCTACCACTGACCTACATCCCCAGCCTTCTGATTTATATTCTTTTGGGGGCTCACAGAAAAACCAGAACTTGTTTTTGGAGTGGGCACTTTATTTGAATATAGTCTATACATAATAAAACCAAGGATATTTGACTTCTGTGATGGATTTGTATTTACCATTCCCACCCAAGCCCAGGGACTGCATCAGTGAGTACCAACCCTGCCAGGGCAAACAGGCCTTCCAGCTTGGCAGCATGGCCATGTTCACATGCTCTTGTAAGTGCAGCCTCCTTTCTCTTCAGTTGCCTTCTGCCTTGGTTTCCTGCAAGTTCTGTTTGCCCTCCTACAGAAGCTTGCTGGGAAGCTGGGCTGCTTAGAGTGGCCTGCCTTGCTAGTGCTAGTCGCACCCGAGGCCAGCTGTGGCTTCAGTGCCAGAGGTTAAGGAGCCAGCTCCTGGTCTGTCCTCTAAGTGATCAGACCTGCCTTTTGGGGCTGGTGGACTGTGGTGTGCCATGCACTAGTTCCGTACCACATGGCCATCCTTTAGAGCCAGGCCGGCCTGATTCAGTGGCATGTGAGGATGTGGTACCTGTTTCACAGCAGGATCATACGCAAGGTGTGGGGTGGACATGTTCTTAAGTCCTGATACTTTATTCCCAACTGTTAACCATGTAAAAACTCAGACTCCCAACCCTTCTCCTAGAAGCAGCTAAATCTGTCTCTTGACTACTCTTCATAAAAAAGAACTCAGTGTTTTTACACATTACATGTGAAACTGTGAGGTGTATGATCATCCTGTCGGTAAGGAAACAGGCTGGAGAGGTGTTGCTAGGGCATGGTTTTAGCAACGGTTAAGACAGCAAGATCCTCCTCCCCTTTGGCCCCTGAAGGAAGCCCACCTATTCCATACTGTCAGGTTGGGCCCCCTTGCTGATGTAGCCTTAGACTCTAGCCATAGTGAGCTGTAAGCACCAAGAGCAGTCTTTAGGATTTAGTCTACAAGAGCTCTCCAGGGCCTGTTATTTGGCTTCATAACTTTTTTTTTGAGACCGTCTCACTATGTAGCCCAGGATGGCCTTGAACTCACCATTGTAGCCTAGACTGGCCTTGAACTCATAGTGATCCTCCTACCTCAACCTCCCGGGTGCTGGAATAACCTCCCGGGTGTGCCCAGCTGGCTTCATAACATTTGCCCTCCCCACCCACCCCCAGTAAAATTCCAAATTCAGGCTTTTCTCTCATTGCTGGGACAAAATACCTGACACCCAGAATTAAGGAAGAAAAGGTTTATTTAGCTCACAGTTTGTAGAGGTTTCAGTCCATAATCAGCTGGCTCCAAGGCAGAGTGACACATGGCAGAGGGCAACAGTTACTGGTGGCAGAAAACAGCAAAAGCAGCAAGAGCAAAAAGGGAGGAGCAGCAGAGAGCAAGCCTCTTTCCCTCCCTTATACTATAGGCAAGCTACCCACCCCAGGGTAGGTGTAGCATTCAGACCCATAATCCCAACCTTTGACCATGAGTCAATCATAAACTCGAGAAGCCTGCCCCATGACTGCATGAGGCTTTGCGGGGGACATCTAGAAACAAACTATAACAGACGGGGTTGTCCCCTTACCTAGTTTCTTTATTCAGTTCAGTTGCTGATTTAGGCAGCCTTTCCTACCACTGCCCCTTGACCCCAGGTTGTTAAGTGACCTGTAATCCACACTCCAGGCTTCTCTATCAATATCTATCAGGCATAGCTTTTTTTTTTTTTTTTTTAATGGTGTTGGGGATTAAACCCAGAGCCCAAGAGTGCTCTCCTTTATCTCATAATGTGTGTTATTTTTATTTTTCTTTGTTTTGAGACAGGGTCTTGCTGGTCCTGAGCTCTCTGTAGCCCAGGCTGGCCTTGAACTTGTAGCAATCCCCCTGCCTTAGCCTTCTAAGCGCTGGGATTACAGGTGTGTGCTACCATGCCTGGCTGAAGTATGTGGGTTTTTTGTGGTTTTGTTTTGGAACTGGGGAGTGAACCCAGGGCCTCTGTGTTGAACTACATCCCTAGTCTTTTTTTAAAACTGTATTTTGAGACAAGGTCCCAGTAAGTAGCCCAGGTTAAGCTGCAACTTGTGATCCTCCTGCCTCAGCTTTCCAGAATGCTGGGGTTACTGTTGTATGCCACTGGGTGTGGCTCCCATTAATAGCTTTTTAATTTGCTTGACATTCCCTGCCAGATTAAACCTTAGAGGAGGTACCTTGCCTGGAAATCCAAAAGCTGGTCCAGGTACTTGGGGAAGGCTTGTGCAATTTCCCACCTGCATAGCTCCATGACCTCCTTTGTGACCTGCAGCATGGGGGCAAGCAAGACTTCCTTGCTTCCATTTCCCACCCTCTAGCTCTGGCTCCATCAGAGTTAGAACTCCTGGGGCATGGAAGAAGGTACCTCGTTAGGCAAAAGCTGATTTTCCTGCCCACTCTGTCCCCTTCCTTCACAAGGGCTGAAGGGCTAGGGAACTGGGACTTAGCAAGTTACTGTGTCACGAGGAAGTGTTCAGGGACCATCCTCCACAGCTGTGCCTCCCTGGGACTACAAGCACTCAGTATACACTTGTCAAACTGAGAAAGGTAACTGGGCTAGCCCCCCAAAGCAGAGATGAATTCTGACATTTATTGTGTACCACTCCAACCTACACAGGTTGTCCTGGGCAGCCTTGCACATCTGGCTTCACTGGACATAGGCTGAGATAGCAAGGCCTTGTACTTAATCTTCCTCTTGTCCCTTGATGGGCCCATTTTCAGAGGCAGCAGATGAGATAAAGGTGGGAGAGTCCCCTATTCATAGTAACTAGGAGTTTGTGTTCAAAATCACTTCCTCTAGAGCTGTGTGACATTAAGTAAGACTTCAGCTCTGGGGTCTCAGCCAGCCGTAAGAGGCTGGGGTTCTAAACACTAGCAGTTCCTAGAATGAAGTTTTCTGATGGCAAGTAGAAACTTTTTTGGAAAATAAAATGTTTCATTCCAGCTGATGGGACATGTGAGATTCTCATCTAGCCCTCTCCACAGAAGACCAAGAGCCTGTGGTGGGTTAACTTCACCACCCCGCTAGCCAAGTCCACTGTGTCAGCCACAGGCCACAGAATGGAAAACCAAAGGCCACTGTTTCATTCAAATAACCCACAGAACAAAGGCCTTGGGTATAGTCAGTGGTAGATGCTTGCATGGCAGGCAGTCCCCACCCCCAGAATGGGTTTGATCCCTAGCACTATACAAAAAAATACAAAGGCCCTTGGTGCTAGATGAATCTTAGTGCAGGTGCAACAAGACAGTAGAGGCTTCCTTCCATGTGAAGAGTGGACTCTGGTCTACATCCAAGCTTTCCTTCCAGCTGTTTTTCGTCAGAATGTAGAGCTGCCTAGACATTTAACTCCATCCCTACGCTGAGGTAAGTTGGCAACTGTTAGTCTGGGGCAGTGGGTACAGCAGTGTCTTCTGGGCTAGACTGAGGACCTGATAAGCAGCTAAAGGTAACTGGGCTAGCCCCCCAAAGCAGGTAGTCTCCTAATTTGAGTCTACTCAAAAGCAGCTGGGTAAGAGCGTTCCAGGTGGGTAGGTGAGGTTTTGAAGGCCCATTCCCCAACTGTGTCCAGTCTACGCAAGGCGGAAACTGGAGCAGAGGCGTGTTGATCTGCACGCTGCCCGGAGGATATGCTAACAGCCCCAAATGTGCTTTGCGTCCCTCAAAGGCCACTGCCTGTATAGTCTGTTTGGGACAGGAGGGGGTGACCCTGGCATTTGCACGGTTCTGGGAATGGTCTTGATAAAAGCAGTTCAAGTAGACACAGTGGAACTCCTTATTCTTCAAGTTCACCTCCCTCTACTAGGGACTTCAGAAATTGTACTACATAATAGTCCTTAGAAAAAAGACAGACCTTAATTAGGGAAAAAGTCCTCTCCCAACATCAGTGCTGGTCCCAGAGATAGCCTTTGAGCTCTGGAGAACAAGGTAGAGTTCACAGAACAAAGATAAAAAGTTTCTCACCCTTCCAACGACAAGATGAAAAGTTAACAGCAACATTTCAAAGGCTATTCTAAAACTCAAGTTATTCCTTAAATACTTAATATAAAATCAGAAAAACCCCTTACTGCAGAAAGTGAATTGGCATCTCAAACCATGATTCTGATATGCCTATAGCCCAAAGGCACAGCAGGCCATGCTTCCAAAGGTCACATTTATTTCTGGACATGAGCACATCCTACCCTCTATCCTCCGTGCATGTCTCTCCTTGCACTGGCCATAGTATGGCACCAAAGCATGCTGAGCAGATATCAAGTGAAACAAAGGCACACCATTTTATCTCAGTAAGAAAGTAAACTGAATGGGATAGTGCCTTTCAAAAAGTCCACTTGTGGCTCTTCATTATTCCATGGCCCCTGCCAGAGAGAAGACTCCTTTTTCCTACACTAACAAGTATCAACACAGAGATGGCCTTAAAAAGTGGCTGACCACTGTAGAATCGTGGAATGTGCACTGGAGAACCCTGTAAGTTCAGTCCAACTTTGCTTTTGCAGAGGAGTGAATGATCCAGGGCCCCAAGGCCATACTGTTGCCTTGCCCTTGGATTCATATGATGGTTTTTGGTGGTGGTGATACTGGAGATTAAACCTAGGCCTCCCACCTTTTCTTTATTTAAATTTTTATTTGTTTTTGGTTGAGACAAGGTCTTGCTGAGGCTGGCCCTGAACTTACTATGTGGCCCAAGCTGGCCTTGAACTTACTGGCTTGAACTTCAGGCTTCAGCCTCATGAGTGCTGGGATTATAGGTGTGCCACCACGCCTGGCACCCTTTTAGACATGTGAAGCAGGGTCTCATTAAGTAGCCCAGGCTGGCCTTAAATTCTCAACCTTGTCTCAGCCTCTCAAGTTGCTGGAGCTACAGGTGTGGGCCACCATGATCAGCTCATGATGAAATCATTTTTTACCTGGATTTATATGATCTCTTGCAGAGTCATTTGTTACCTACTCAGAGGGGCCAAGTGGCAGAGTTTAAAGTTTATGTGAATCACTGTAAAGTATTGATATTAATTACAATCTCAAAGACTCCCAGGGGCACTACAGCTTGGAATCCATTGACATCTTTCAGTTATCTGAATATTACTCATGATTCTAGCTATTCTCCTCGAAGTTCCAAATTTTCTGTAACAATCACCTGGTGTTTTGATTACAGCACCTAGAAACAGAACCTAGAACTCTGGCCTGTTCCTTTGATAAATACATAAATAAATAAATAAATAAAGCAAACACAGTTCTGAGTCCAACTCCCAGCTCTAGTTCAGTCTTATTCCCAGAGACGTGGGCTTCTTCCCTCCCAGACTTATGTAAACATGGGCATTGGCACAGTTAGTACAAGAGCAGCAGCTTATCTCAGATCAGGGGGGAAAACCCAGCCTTTACCCTTTCCTTTGGTCGATGAACTGCACTTACTATGTAGTCAGGAGAGGTGGGCAGGCCAGGCCTTAAAAGCTGGGAAATGTTTGGCAAGTTCCTCGCTAGTCTCCAGGTTCACTCTAGTACTGTGTACCCCTATGGCTGGCAGTTAGAAAAAAAATATGGAAACCACCTCCCTTTAAAAATGATGGCCTTGGGGCCAAAGAGGCAAAGACTGAACAAGGCCACAAGCCAGTTAGGCAGAGCAGGGGCTGGAGGACAACACAGGACTGGGAGCAAGGGCTCACTGCATACCACCAGGAACCTGCCCACATGGAAAGGGCATGAAGTCAAGAGTAGACCAGGAGACCCGAAGCCTCTGGGAGTACTTGTGACCTTTCTATCAGTTCTTCAATCACTGAGACCTACAGGGAGGGGACGACTGAGGCCACTGAGCATGTCACTGTTCAGGTAAGAGAAGGGAAAACTGGATCCACACTCCAGCCTGGAAGGAGTTACACCACCTTCTCCCTCCCATCCTCTACCTCCCTGCTTCAGCCTCATGGCCACCTCACTGGAAAGGCTTCTGTATGGTTTTCAGTCCTGCTCTTGGGAGGGCAAGGAGGGCAGAAGGGAGGTGCTGCCATGTGGCTCCTGCCCTGGGCCCAGGCTGGAAATGAAGCAGAAGGCAGTGGAACTGTGGTCACCAGCACTAGACAGTGAGCAGGCAGCCCCAGCCTAGGAGAGAAGCTCCAAGAGTAGTTTCCAGATGTGCACGGTGCCAGGTTCTTCAATACCAGATCCTGCAGGGGCGATGCTGGCTGCCAAGAGGAAAATCTCCCGCTGGCTGTCAACAGCCTGCAGGCCCAGCTCCTGCTGCAGCTCCACCACACTCATAGCCTCATTCAGGTCCTGGAGAGAACACACAGGTCAGTGGGGACTCAGCCGACACGCTGCCACCCTTGCTATCCATGCAGCCTACTGTTCTTCAGCTACCCCAGTGAACACCAAGTTCCCAGCAGCCCCCTCTTGGCCCCCTGGAATAACACTGTGCTCTCTCCCTCATCCAACTCCTTTGTATCAACCACTTTGTTGCATCGCCAGCCACCATGGTGAGAAACAGCGTTGTGACAGGTGCTCATATTCCTTGCCTCTGATTATTACATCCATACTTAACTGAAGAAATTGGCCCAGGAAGGTGAAGTCATTTAGTCTAGATAACAGTAATGAGTTGCGAAGCCAGATTCCAAACAGATTGATTTAATCCCTAAGCTTTGAGCCTTACAAAAATTCCTGACCAGTTTCCTAAACTCAACGCTGGAGAGGTCATATACAACACCCTAAAAACTAGCTGGAAGGAAAAAGCTGCTATACCACATGGCTGGTACATGCATTTTAAATTTAACCCTGGCCCAAGATTAAGATGATTCTTCTTGAGCCAGGTGTGGTGCTACATGCCTGTAATCCCAGCACTCGGGAGGCTGAGGCAGGAGGATCTCCAAAGTTCCAGGGCAACCTGGGCTACATAATGAGTTCAAGGCAAGCCTGAATGTGAGATTCTGCTTCAAGAAACTAATTAAAAATAAATAAATAAATAGAGCCAGACACAGTGGCTGAGTGGGAGGAATGTGAGTTCAAGTCCAACTTTGGGAGTATAGCAAGACTATATTTTAAAAAAATTAATGTTTTTAAAACAACTTCTATAAATTAGGTGTTAACTTCTGTAGGTACAAATCTGCTGTGAATTGGTTTATAAATTGAGTCCGTTTGACTCATTGTGTAATTAAGGGTACTTCTGAGGTTTAAAGAGGGCACCAGAACAACAGGCATAAGTGGGGACTGTCCCAGGTAGACTAGGACATACAGTCAGATTTATAAATAACTGTCAAGTGTCTCCTGATAGGCAGGAGGAATCTAAAGTCAAAGACACAACTTCTCTCCATGCCAAGTTCTGAAAATGTTCCATGGCCCTCAGAGATACACAGACAGCCACAGGGAAGCCAATAGGCTCAGCTCTGTGGCAGTTCCCCTCTATGGAAGATGGCACTATGGTCTCCAAAGCTGAAAGCTGCGGGGCCTAAGGGAGCCCAGGGACACAGGGTAGTGGTTAAGAGCAGAAACTGCAGGGTTGGGGATGTAGCTCTGTGGTAAAGCTCTTGCATAAAGGCCCTGGGTTCACTGTCCAATGCTGTCTAAAAACAGAACAAATAAATGGCAGGAACTTTGAGGAAAATCTGAATTTGAGTCTTGACTATGTCAAAGTTATAACTTCAGCATCTGAGGATAACAGTTTCTGTTGTGTTGTTTTTTCACTGAGGATTGAATTCAGGGCTTTCACACCTAGGTACATCCCCAACCTTTTTAATTGTATGTTATACAGGCTCTCATTAAATCACTTAAGTAGCCCAGGCTGGGCTCAAACTTGGAATCCTCCTATCTCAGCCTCCCGAAGTGCTGGGATTACAGGCATGTACCAGCACACCTGACAATAATGGGGTTTTTATAGGACTAAAGTGAGGTCGTGATTGTCAGGTGCTTAGCACTGTGCCTGGAACGACACACAAAAATAAATATTACTTACCTGTTCCTATCACTTTAGATCTCTGGCCCTCTGAATTCGATTCCGGTACCAAAAAACAAAACAAAACAAAATAAAACAAAACAAAAATAGATCTCTGGCCTACAGCAGAAAGTTGCAGGGATACAGCAGACTGGAAAAAGTGTAGGGTTTTTCTTGTTTTTTTTGACATGGTTTTGCTATATAGTTCAGGCTGGCCTTAAACTCATTATGTAGCCCACGCTGGTCTCAAACTCACAGCACTCCTTCTGCCTCAGCTTCCTGAGTTGGGATTATAGGCATGCACCACCATGCCTGGCAAGGTTTTGGAATCAGACATCCTAATTCCACTACTCCCAAGATGTACCACCTCGGGTAGATTACAAACCTCCCTAAACTTCAGTTTCCCTACCTGTAAAATAGGAATTGCATCCCACATCTTGCAAGGCCAACAGATGCCCAAGGACAGCTCTTCAAAACCATACCTGGTATATATTATTTCTCTCATCTCTCAAGGGTGACAAAAGGATAGACAGGCAAAGAGGAATAAAACAGGCTGGGATGAGAAAAAAGCTTAAGTAGATCAAGTGGGGCCAATATCTTCACCAAGGCATGGGCCCAGGCAAATTCCTCTGCAGTGTGCCCTGCTCCTGCCCAGGAATTTGCTAGTGCAAGTCCGAATGGCTTTAGCTAGCCTTTTAAGGCCTCACCTGCTTGTTGGCCACCACGACGACAGGCAGGTCAGGGTCCTTGTCTAGCAGCTTGTGCAGCTCCTGTCGGGCCCAGGGCAGTCGAAGCCGGTCAGCTGAGTCCACCATGAACACCAGTACATCCACTTCATTCACAAACTCCTTCCAGTAGAAGCGCAGGTTCTGGCTGCCACCAACTGAGGAGAGGTCAGTGGCCAGTTCAGAGCCTCCCTGGGCCTGGCTCTTTATCCTTAGCCTCAACCCACCCACTTACAGCTTCCCAAAGCTGCAGCACCCGGGGACAAGGAAAGGACCACAAGGTCCTGAACCAATCAGACGAATTGATCAGACCTGAGTTTAGCTCTAGCTGTCAGCCTGGTCTCTTAGGACAAGTTGCTGCTATCTTGTATCACTGAACCCACCCATCAGGTTGCGGTATAACCCAAAGTTACCACATGCAACACATTCTTGCCTTTTGCCAATTCTTTTTTTTGGTATGGGGAATGGAACTGAGGATCTTGTGCTTGCCAGGCAGGCACTGTGCTGCTGAGCTAAATCCCTGGCCCCTCTTGCCAATTCTTAGCCTCCTCCTAAGTCAGTGACGGCTGTGATCAGAAGCCAGGAGTCTCAGTGCCTTGAAAAGTCAGGACCCCCTGCCTTGCCTGGGCACAGCCACTTTCTAGTGAGTTTTCTCACCCCATTCCCTCCCTTGGAAATGACAGACTCAACCCATGAGTTACTTTCCTGCTCTTCTCTGCCCCTCTGCACAGTCCCCAGTGATCACCCTGCACCTTAGTATCACTAGTGTGAACTCTAAACTCTGAGCCAGATATACTTACCTCTGGATCCCCCCAAAGCCTCAGCACAATGCCTGGCACATAGCAGGCACTCATTAACTATTTACTGAGTGCTTACTAGGTGCCAAGCACTGATCTAGGTCCTGGGGATACAGAGGTGAACAGGCAGGCAGCCCTGCTCTTAAGGAGCTCCCTCCCTAACCAATGGACTAGCCATAACACGAACATTCCAGAACAGAAGGAAATAAAGCAGAAAAAGGGAAGTGGCTGGAGGTGGGGGTTGGCTTTGTATTGAGTGGTCTGGGAAGCTTTCTCCAAGAAGGTGGACGTGAGCCGAGTTTGGGATGAAGAGAAGCAGCTAGCCATGGGAAGAGGCAGAGAAAAGCATCAAAGGCAGTGGGAAAAAGCTCAGTGTGCTTGAGAAACAGAAGGTCAGGGTGGCCGAGGTACTACCTCACCAGTGGGAGGGGCAAAGGCTACACAGATGAGGATGGCCAGGGCAGACTGCATAGGGCCTGTAAGGCCACAGCAAACTCTTAGGGGGTTTAGGCAAGAGTGACATGATCTGAGGTGGGTTTTTGAAAGGTTGCTGTGGCTGACCCTAGGGGCAGAAGTGTAAGCAGGAAGACCAGTAAGGAGGCTGTAGTGCTGACAGGAGAGAAGATAGTGGCTTGCACCAGGGAGCAGCAGAGATGGGAGGTGGACAGTCTCTCTGAGGACAGAGCTGAAAGCAGCAGCTAACAAACTGGATACAGGAGGTTGGGGGAGGGAAGAGCCATCAAAGTCTTAAGCTCATTCAGTTAGTAATTATCCCCTACTAAGGGCCCATTCTCTGCTGGGCCCCAGACCAGGCCATCGCAACCACAGTAAATGGTTTGCTGCTGGACCCTGTGGCTTGATTGGGAGGTCTGGGACTGCATCCAGTGAGTTCAGACTGTCTCCTGTCAGCCCCTCAGGTACCATGAAAACAACCATCCCCTTCCCCCAGGGCTAGGGAAGAAGGGTTGTTACCTCTGACAGACAAGGCCTCAAGGCAAGAGTGCCTGCTTTGCTTGACCTGTGTCCTGGGCACAAGAGAAGGAGCCGCCTGAGAAACACTGGTGTAAGGACAGAATCCTAGGTGAGTATCAGTGTTTGCTACAATCAGGGAGAAAAGATCTGGCCATAGCAGGCCAATGGACAAGCACCTGAGACCACAGGAACTAAGCCTGTCAGGCCAAAAGTCAGGCCCTCAACGTATGATGCCTAACCCTTCGCTGAACCAACACAGCCTCTGCGGTCTGAGTCCTGTGCAGGCAGGAAGTCTCCTTGTCCTTCTCAGTGAGAGTGAGGCTGCACAAGGGTGACTGCCCTTTCAATATCCCCTTCGCCATTCTTTTCCAAAACACCACAAAGTCTAGGACTGAGGGCCGGGGGCTCAAGATTCTCTCTGATCTCCATTTGAAATACATGCTCGGAATCAGAAAGGCTTCCCAGGAATGTCATGTTTAAACTAAAGCTTCAAGAATGAGTAGCAGTTCATCAAGGGAAGAAGGCTTTCTAGACTGAGGGAACAGTGCACACACAGGACAGGAGATAAGAGATCAGCAGTCACCCTTCAGAAACAAGCATTGAGATGCTGCTCAACAGTGAAGGCCTACAGCCAGCACTGCATCAGACACTGGAAAGCTCTGCGACCTAGGAAAAATGACCTAACTTGTTGGGCTTCAGTTTCTTCATGTGTAAAGAAGCCTTTGGGGGATTTTATTATGTAACATCTGTCAAGTGCTTGGATTAGGAACCATTAGCTGTTAGGATCTCAGCTAAGCATGTAAGCTTCGGTAATGCTGAATGGCAGGCAACTAGTAAGTGGGGAGATTTTCGATCACTAGGGCCCAAATGCCAGAGCACAGAGCTTGTCCCGTATCTTGTGTCCCAGGGAGGGGTGAGAAAGATTTCATGCAGGGGAGTGTTCTGCTTAGATATGCATTTTGGGTGCCCCCCCAAGAATCCAGGCCCAGGCCCAGCAGCGGTGACGGGGAGGTGGGATGGGGGTCTCTGCTCACTCTCTAGAAGGTCCACCTCGAAGTCTCTGGTGGGCAGCCGCACTGAGTTGAAGCCCCAGGTGGGGACGTGGCCTTCCAGGGGTGTCTTCCCCGACAGCACGCGCAGGAACGTGCTCTTCCCACAGCCATCCAGCCCCAGCACCAGCACCTCGCGCTGCTCCAGCTCCTCCAGAGCAGGTTCCTCCGCTTCTTCCACCTCGGGCTGCGGGACAGAGGTCAGGCTGCGGCCGGCAACTTCCCACTTGACCTTTCCCACATCCCGCCCTGCCCGGTCCAGGGACAGGCGGGGGAGGTCTGGAGGAGTGGGTCCAGCGCTGCTTCTGGAGTTGTGAATTGCAAACCCGATTTTCCGCGAGTGTTCTCTGGCACGTCCCGTTCTCTCGCGGACCGTAATGACCACTTCCCGGGACCGCAGGAGCAACCGAGCCCCAGGAATCTGGCGGCTAGCGGCGGGCTTCTCCCGCCAGCCCCCAGGGCTGCGCCAAAGCGCGCACTGCGCAGGCGCCGCGCGGACCATCCCGGCGCGAGCCCTCTCCTCGGAGCGGGCCGCGTCCTCCGGACTGCGGCGGGGACGGGAAAGCCCTGGTCCCGCGGTGTCAGACCCAAATTCGCTCACCCGCTCCAAGATTTTTGCCTCCCTGACTGCTCGCCGCGTGCCCACTCGCGCCGCGGCGGCCAAGCTCCGGAGCCCGGCGCTCACATGCAGGATCGCGGCCACACCCCTCGGCCACACACGCGGAGGCGCAGACACGGGCCCCGGCCCCGCGCAGGCCCCGGCCGGCACTCACGTCCCACTCGTCCCACGGAGGCAGGCGGGCGGGCTCCACGCCCCACCAGGCCTCGCCGCGGTCCCAGCGCCGCTCGCGTCCGCGGCCGAAGTAGGCTTTCCAGAGAATGAAGAGCACTGAGCCGAGCACGGCCGCGGCGCCGCCCAGCGCCAGCACCAAGGGGCCCAGCGGCCGCGGCGCCATCCGGCCGGGCGAGGGGCGTGGGTGCGGGCAGCGCGGCGGAGCCAGCCCTCCCGCCGAAGATGGCCCCGCTGCGGCTGCGGCGGCCGCGCCCACCCACCCTATCCCAGCCCCGCACTACAAGCCCCACAATGCACCGCCGCTGTCAGGAGACTGGTCGCCTGCTAGTGGCGGCGGGGCTGGGGGCGCAGCGACCTGTCCCTCCCGCCGCCGCCAGGTGCCGCGCGGGGCGCGAAGGCGGTTCCTGCGGAGCACAGGCTCGGCGGTGTTTGCTACCAACTGCTGAGCGCTTGCTGGGAGCCGTGGAGTTAACTGACGGCTTTCTCAGTTACCTCTTACACACCTTCCAAAGGGAAGTTGAGACCCAGGAGATAAGTAATTTGCTCAAGAACGCACCGTTGCACGTTGGTGCAGCTTGCATTCAAACCCAAGCGATCTGTCTTCCAGGTATCCCTCAAGACTCTGGAAGAAACTGAAATCAATTCACCCGCCTAGGGAGTGGTAGAGATGGATTGAGAACTTTGACCCTCAGCGCCTCAGCTCTCCTTTGGCTGCCTCCGAGCGCCTAAGGGTTCTGCTGTATTACTCTTCTGGATACGTTAATGAAGCAGGCAGGGCCAGCAGTCAGGATGTTTAGACTGACCGCCTTGTCCTTTGTCACCCCTAAGTGATTTTTTACCTACATTACATTTCTTCCAATATTAATCTTTTTTTTTTTTTTTTTTTTTGGTCTTTTTGAGTCAGGGTCTCACTATGCAGTTCAGGCTGGCTTTGAGCTCACTTTGTAGCCCAGGCTGATCTCGAACTCACAAGGATCCTCCTGCCTCAGCCTCCTGAGTGCTGAGATTACAGGCGCGTGCCACCATACCCAGCTCCAATACTGATTTTAAAAACATTTGTTTTCATATTAACACTTTGGGGAGAGAAGACTTGTCTAGTTTATTAGGAGATACCTGGAGGTCTCAAACAACACTTGCTCTCCCCAAGTTAAGAACTAATTGAGAAGTTGCAGGAGATAGCCAAATGGAGAGGACAATGTCATCTGCCCATGCTACATGGCCAGGCCCTCTCCAGGGAGCAGGGAGCATCCTGAGTAGCTATGCTGAGCATGGAACTAGCTTCTCAACTCCCAGTCAAGTAGATAACTCCTCTGGGGAAGAGTGAGGGTTGGGAGAAAGTGTAAGAGGATGACTCCAATGCTGTGTCAAACTGTGGTTCAGACCATTCATGAATTGTGAAAAATCAATTTAGTGGGTAGCAACTATAATTTCTTAACATTAGAAAATACAGTAGTAAAGAATGAAATTTATACCTGTTTTGTGAAACGCACACGTGCATGTGTGTGTGTGTTCACCCAGATACCATGTAGAAAATATTAAACCACATGTGATGGCACATCCCTGCTACTTTGACAACATAGTGAAACCCCCATCTCAAACACCATAAACAAATATTTCTTACTGTGGAGCATAATAATAGTTTCAAAGTTCCTGTTCTAGTGTAAGTACCTCTGTGAGGAATGGAATCAGGGAAGGTACGCAGCCTCTTTTCCCCACCTACACATGCTGGACAGTCCTGCTTGAAACTGGCTTCCACCACCTGTGTACCTGGGAAGCTTCTAGACCACTTTCAGAATCTAGCCAGGGCACTAGCTCAGGCCTTGAAGGATCACTTTATTGGCAAGATGGGAACAAGGCCTCCAAAGAGGGAAAGTTTAGCACCAGTGAGTTTATCTCACCAGTGAAACCCTGTCTCCAAAAGACAAAAAACAAAAAATCAATTCACCAACTATTAACGTTTTGCCTCATTTGATTTATCTACTTTTCCTTCACGTACAATTATCCCTCTGCATCTGCAAGGGGGATCAGCTCCAAAAAATATGCCCTATCCCTGAAGATACCACAGTTTGCGAACACTCAAATCCCATCTATAAAATGACATGGTGTTTGCATATAATTTATGTACACCTTCCTGGATACTGTAAGTCATCTCTACATGATACTTAATACAATGCAAACACTAGGTAGATAGTTGTTATACTGTAATTTTAGTGAATAATGACAGCTGCAATAGTTTCTGTTTTGTATTTTGACACAGTTTCACTGTATTGCTCAGGCTGACCTCAAAATCTTGGGTTTAAGTCTTATTCCTAGCTCAGCCTTGCAGGTAGCTGGGACTACAGATTTACATGCCAAATTTATACTGTGGCTATGTAAGAACATGTTCTTGTTAGGAGACATATCAATATAACATGAAAAAATTTTAATGTTGATATAATATTTGAATGTCCTCTATTGACCCGCTAATACACTAACAATACCATAGTGTCCTTTATACTTGTTTTTCTAATTTTTATTTGTATTTGTATATGGTTGCAGTACATAATGATTACATAGACCATAGGGAGTTGGTACATGTATATAACATACCTGAATTCTTTTTACATCCTCTCCTCTGTCTTCCCTTCCCTTTCTCTCCATTTCTTGCTCCCTTTCTATTTGCAAAAAGTCTATCTCCTTGTTTGCTATTTTCTTTTGCCCTCCCTCCTTTTGGTTTTTTGAGACAGAGTCTCAGTAGGTAGTAAAGCTGTGGACTGCAAAGATAGAGCTGAGGAGATCTCCATTGCTGAGAAGGAACAAGAGAATGGAAAAGATGGCCTGAGGGCATCACAAGCAGCAAGTCTGCACCCTTTGCAGCCTCAAAACTGCAAAGGTGAAAGACCTTGCCGTGAGAAGGAAGCTGCTGAGCGCCATGTTCCAGAATGGCAGCAACATAGAGAATTTGTTCCTCAGAACTGTATTCATAGTGCCCAGTGATCCAGGCATTCGGCCTCTATGGCCAAGAGAGAGGAAAGCTTTGCTACTGCTCCAGGTGGCAGCAGACCTTGGCATTATCCGCTTGGCATTAGTTTTAGGCACAAACAGAACGTAAGAGTTCTGAGGTTAAGAAGGCTTCTACCTAGATTTCAGAAGGCCTAGGTGGCCAGGTAGTGTGCCCCTGAGAGGGCAGTGTGTGAAGCTGTGAGTGAGAAACGTAAAGTGCAGTGGAGACCTCAGGAGGTTGGAAAAGCCAGGAATGTGGATTGTCTGAGGAAAGCTGCAAGAGGGAGGAAAACAGGCCCAAGAGAGAAGCCCTAGGAACTACAGCCACCAGAAGTGCCATGGGGCAGAGTCACGCAAGCCGTTTGGAGCTCACAGTTTACCACAGATTGCTTTGGATATTCCATATGGAACTACAGGACTTAATGTTTGTTTGCTCTCCTGGATGTTGGACTTGCTTTGGTCCCAATGCTTTGCATGCTCCTGTTTGTACCTTTTGGAATGGTAATGTTTGTCTTGTGCCATTGAATGTTGGACATGTTTAACTTTGTTTTCATTTGTACAGGGCACGCAGCTAAGAGTTTGCTTTACATCTTGGAAGAGACTTGGGACTTGGACTCTTCAGCAATGCTGAAACTGTTAGGAGATTGGCAACTCTTAGAGATGGACTAAAATGCCTTTTGCATAAAAGGATGTGAATGAGTCTTTGGGGGGCCAGAGGCAGAATGTTACAGTTTGTGTCTCAATGTCCCCCCAATTCCTCATGCAGTCATAGGGTGGGCTTTTAGAGTTTATGATTGATTCATGATCCAATGTTGGGATTATTGGTCTGAGTGCTATACCTGCCCTGGGGCAGGTAGTTTGCATACAATATAAGGGAGGGAAACAGGCTTGCTTTCTGCTACTCCCCCCCTTGTGTTCTCGGTGCTTTTTCTGTCTTCTACCCACCATGAACTGTTGCCTCTGCCATGTGCTGCTCTGCCTTGGAGCCAGCTGACTATGGACTGAAACCTCCACCAGCTGTGAGCTAAATGAACCTTTCCTTTCTTAATCAGGTATTTTGTCCCAGCAGTGAAGAAAAAGTAACAAGACAGTAGGTTTTTTGTTTAGTTTTAGTTAACTGCCTTTCATTGCCTGTTATTGGATTACTTAGGGATTTTATATCTTCTTGGTATGTTTCCCCCCCGCCTCAATTTCATTTTTCTTTTTTTTTGAGACAGAGTTTCTCTGTGTAGTTCAAACTGGCCTTGAACTCACTATGCAACCAAGGTTGGCCTTAATCTCATGGTGATCCTCCCGCCTCAGCCTCCCAGGTGCTGGGATAAAATTTCTGCTCTGATCTTTATTGTTTCCTCCCTTATACTGGTTTTGAATATGGATTGTTCTGTTTTTCTGGGACCTTGATATGCATTATTAGGGTATTTATTTGTATTCACTCTGTTTTCTGATATGGGCACTCACAGTTATAAATTTCTCTGTTAGGACAGCTTTTGTTGTGTCCAGTAGGTTCTGGTATGTTGTACTGGCATTGTTTGATTATAGGAACTATCTAATTTCTTCCCTTCTTTTTTATTTTTTTTTAAATTTAGGTCTCTTTTGTTCAGAATGGCCGTTGAATTCACTATGTAGCCCAAGCTGGCCTTGAACTGTGGCAATCCTGCCTCAGCCTCCTGAGGGCTGGGATTACAGGTATGGGGCTCCATGCCCATCTTTCTTAATTTCATCTGTGACCCATTGATGATCTAAGGGTGTATTGTTTAACCTCCAGGTTCTTGCATAATTTTTTTTTCTTGCGTAATTTCTGTGGTTTCTTTTGTA